CCCCTCCACCCACCTGCGTGGCCGGCGCGTCCAGGCTGTCCGCTGCCTCCAAGATTGCGCCGTTGGCCACAAACGCGTCCAATTCCATCTCCTCGTCTTGCCCCTGCAGCTGCCCTCCCGCCTCCTGCTCTTGTGCCTGCTGCTGCTCATCCGGCCCGCGCTGCCCGCCCGACGGCGGCGCCGCGGCCCCTCGCTCCGCGGCGCGCACGGCGGCCATCTTGCGGCGCCGCCACGGCGGGGGCCGGCCCTTCTTGAGGCGAGGCTGCTGGCTGGTGACAGGTACGTTTGTGCAACCGCCATTGCTGCGCCGCTGCCCATTTCCGTGATTAAGCTCCTGCTGCTCACCTTGAGTCAGCCCCGCCTCGGCCGTCCGCTCGTCTTCCTGCTCCCCCTCTGCGCCCTGCCGCCGCTGCTGCTGCTGCTGCTGCTGCTGCTGCTGCTGCTGCTGCTGCTGCTGCTGCTGCTGCTGCTCCTGCTGCTGCTGTTGCCGCGACCACCGCTGCTGCCTGGGCTGCGGGTGCTGCGTGCGCCGCTCCTGCGCCGCCTCCGCCGTCTGCGACGCAGCCGCCACCTCGTCGCCGCTGCCTTCGCCCGCCCCGAAGGCGGCAGCCGGCGAGCCGCGGCCCTCGGCGGCAGCCGGCCGCGCGGCGCCAGCCGGAGCGGCCGCGAAGCCGGCGGCTGCAGGTTGAGGTCCCGGGGGCGGCCGCGGCGCAGCAGACACGAGCCAGTCCGACACCGGGGGGGCACCGCCCCTTGCTTGCTGTTTCGCAACCTGCAAAACAAGGCAGAATGAAATAACGACATGAGCGCCGCATGTTGCAGGCAGACTTCTGCACGGCGCCGCCGCGCACCCGTGCGGTTGCACAAACTGGGAGCGCCCACGCTCTTGCAGCACAGCATGCTGCTTGCGGGTGTTTGGCCCCACCAGCGAACCAACGGGGCGTGTGCACACCCTTTTCGATCATCAAGAGGCGCATTTGGCTCATCGCGGCAAACCATTGGGCGCGTCATCGGGCGCGCACCTCGTGGATGGGCGGCCCCGCGACCTGCAGGAAGCTGTTGTTAGGGAGCGGCAGGAAGATGGAGCAGTGCAGCAGGAGGTGGAGCATGACGGTGTCGCCGACGCGCCGCAGCAGCTGCTGCCACTCGGGGCCCTGCAGCAGCTGCGCGCGCGGCGCGGCGCGGCACGGCAGGGGGAGGAGGGCCGTGGCGACGTGTCAGGGAATATGAAACCGATCCAGCAGGAGTGGGCGGGGTGGCCTGGTGAAGGGCATGACTTGGGATGGTGACAAAGCAATGCGGTGGACACTCGGTGCAGGAACAGAGTTGTAAGGTTGGAGGGTCAGGCTTAGGGTGTTTGAGCGGCCCACTCGCACAGACACCTTCACACAAACACAAACCTACACACGCACACATACATGCGCGAGCGCGTGCGCGCACACCTTGGTGGCCGGGTTTGGGTGCCAGGAGTCCGAGTGACACAGGCCAGGCACAAAGGCCCCCGTGGTGCGGGGAGCTTTCTGTGAGGGCAATGGGCAGTGGGGGCGGGGGCGGCGCTAAGTCAGCACCAGGGCCCGCGAGCGACAGCCGCAGGTCAACCCCGTCAGGCTTTGCCGCTGCCCAAAACGCCACCAACAACCCAGCGACCTGATGGTCCAAGAGAACAAGCAGTAGAGCCTTGCTGATCAGAAAATATTTGCGGTGCACCTTTTTGAAGCCGTAGCGCAGCACGTTGTCGGTGTTTCGCCGCACCAAGACATCGATTGCCTGGAGCAGCAGCTGCATTTTTGAGCGGCGGAGCGGGCAGAACGCGGCGGCGCTGTGTTTAGCCCAAACGTACTTATTGCGGCAGCGCTGGGGTTGAGGCCTCGGCGCAGAGCTCATGAATGAGATTCAGGGGTGATTCAGGGGCTGCGGGGCAGGGCGGGGCGCAAATGTGGTGCTGACGTGGCAGGCGGGCTGGCGGGTGAAGAGGCGGGCACCTGCTCCTGGGTCGACCGCTGCGACAGCCGCAGCTGCTGCCCCTGCAGCCGCGGAGCATCCCGGGAAACCGCCACCACCGTGCGCCGCAGGAAGTGCTGCGAGAAGGCGCGTGGGTCTCCCGGCAGCGCCAGGGCCAGGCGGGGCGGCGCCGCCATTTGAACGGCGGCGTTGTCAGCTGCCTGCGGCGGCGCCGTAGCGGGGGCACCCGCAGGCGAGGGCGCGCCGCCTGCCGCGATGAGCTGGACTGCATCCTCTAAGCTGAGCGGCTCCTGGTAGAGCCGGTTGAGCACAGCGGCCTTGACGCGCGGCGGCGTGTGTGCACTTCGCGGCATAGCGGCGCAGCAGGGCACAGCGAGCGCAGCACGCGTCCGCCACGCAGCGCTGTCAGCGCCTCTCGGGGGCCTCTAAGGAACTTATGACATGTCTCACGCCTTTGTGATGCCATTGACAAGACGAAAGTGGCCAGGCTGCATTACTACAGCATCACCTGCCGCGCAATGAGCGTCTGGTCAAGACATATCGAAGAACGATTCAGATCACTACTGACATTCAAATATGCTTGCTAGCAGAGTGTCACCCGTAGATCAAACTCGTCGAACCTGATGCCGCCTTGCAGACATGGCGAGGCCCAAGAGGCTTTCTCATCGCATGTCTGTGACAGTAGTGCTTAGCGTGTTGGTGGTGCGCATCCATGGACCCTTCAGTCCGCAGCCATCTGATTGTGCACACCCCGCTGACCGCATTCGTCGCCACCTGCATCAAACACAGGTGCTCACAACCGTTGCAAGGCTCTCGGACGTGGCACGTCGCCAGCATCTGGCCGAGTGTGATGCGACTGGCGAGTGATTTGGGCCTGCTCCAGGGGGTGAAGGGCAGTTGGTCTGCACAACCGCCAATGCACACTTCACACTGCTCGCAATCGTGTGCCAACTTATCCTGTTTGGATACCTGGGGCTTTCACAAATATACACCCACTCTGTGATGCGACGTCACGTGCACAGATTCACATTTATTGTGTCCAAACGCCGCTGCGCAGGCGCAGGTTGTGACAACCGGAACAGTCACCATGTGAGGGCAAAAGGACAGCAGGAGGTAGTGCCGCCCCCGCCGCCGCAGCAGCAGCGGCGGCAGCAGCAGCAGCAGCAGCAGCAGCAGCAGCAGCCAGCCGGCACAGATGTGCCTGCACCAGCCATCTCAATCCCAGCGGGGACCAGTGCCGGTCACAGTGAGGCCGATGGCGGCGGCGGAGGCGAGCACGATGAAGTGCCAGGGCGCTTCACCACGTTTGACCCGGAAAGAGTCAAGGTGCGCCCGTTCACACTCTGCAGCAGTTGGAGCCGCTGCTTCAGGCAGGACGACTGTGATGGCAGGGATCACTGCAAACAGGCCTCCCACCCTCTGCCTCGCGAATTGATGGCCCTTGCATGAAACGACCTGCTGGTCATGCCTCAAAATGCCTAGCCCACCCAACTTTTGGCCGCCATCTTTGCAGAAGCTGCCCCATGTTGACAAGTGCCGCGTCTGCAAGGTCTGCATTACTGTTGAGGAGGAGGCCAACTTCTCGCCTCAGAAGGCCAAAGGCGGTGGCGCGCTCGACGGCCCGCCAAAAAAGCACCAGCACATACAGCAGCAGCGGCTCGGGAAGCACAGGCGCCGGCAGCTACTGGGACGCCGCCGGCGGCGGCTGCAGCGGCTGATCCACGCCGCTGACGCCGCGCTCGACCTGCCGCCAGCTGCTGGCCGCCCCACGCATCAGCCGGCATGCGGCAGCACCTTAGGCACCTCCGGCACACAAACTCTGCGGCGCCTGGCCGCCGGCACCCCGCAGATCGACGGCATCAGCACGCACGCCAAGTGGGTCGCAGCCCACGGCGGGGCCGCGGCGGCGGCTGCGGCAGCAGCGGGCGGCAGCAGCGGCAGCAACAGCGGCGGCGCGGCCGGCGTGGAGGTGGTCACTGGTTATGACGACACGGCTTTCGAGTGGGGGGGCCGGTCGTACAGCATCGCGCCGCGCAGCATCTTGCACCCCGCGGGCCAGATTCGCACGTGTCCGGCGTGCCGCGGCTGCCGGCATCAACTTGAGTGGATGCCCAAAGGTGCGCCGGGCCGCATTATTGACGCGGCGGCCGCGCCGCACTGCTGCGGCCACCACCATGCCGCGGCACGCCGCCGCTTTGCCTCCGCTCTCATGCGGGGCAGCGCCACTCAGGCTGCAGTGCGGCGTCTGCATGTCAAACACTCACTCTTCAGCCCCCAAAGTACCCTGTACCCTGTGCCTCAAATTGCTGGCTGCGATTAGGCACGCGGATGCTCAACTCTTACTTCACCCACGAGACCGGGGCGTCCCCTGGCTGGCTGCTGCGCGTCAAGTCAAACCGGTCGCGCACGGGAGAGGCGGCCGTG